GTGCCTCTTGGACAATACAACCGGGCCATCTGCTCTGTTAAGACAAGTAAAAAAGAAAAACGTTCTTTTGTGTTCAGGATTCAGACAGGATAGTGAGGGGTGGGGGTGGGTGGGGTCACAGCGGTGGAAGAACAGCTTATTATTACAGCCAGGTACTCAAACGTGCATCAATTCCAGGAACTTGGCCGGCAACTGATCTGAATTACATACTGCAAATTACAAAAAAGTTAAAAAATACATACAGAACTAAGCATTTTTTCTTATTGTATCTTGATTTCTTACTCAGACTTTTATTCTTGCCTCATTTTTTCATCAGCTCATGAATTTCTTCCTCTATCACCCCTCTTTTTTAATGTGCTCCTAGCAGTCGYAGTCATAGTGTGTGTGTTTTGCCTTTATAGCAGGCAAAAGTTGAATTCAAGGTCAGATTTAATTATTGACTACTGAAGTCACTGAAGTCACTTCACTTAATTCTGTATCTATTAAATCATTGTTACATATTATACTTTTATAAAAAAATCAGTAGAAAACACAATCTAGAATATAATAATGCTAACAAACAACGTGATTACTCATCTATTGCAATATAAAGCTGCTGTTGCAGAATTCCTGTAACAATGGCTTCACACTAAATCATACAATCATGCAAAGATGGAAAACACCCTTTATTTGTTTACAATAAATCATGCTGTTACGTAAAAGCTGCCATTATAGATAAAATTTTCAGTGTGTTTATTTATTTATTTATTTATTTATTTATTTATTTATTTATTTATTTGTGTATTATTTCAAATTTTGCTTGTGTTATCACATCATGATATAATTTAAAAACCATATAGTACACTTATGATTAGGAGGCCATAAATTAAATATCAGTAACACAAAATGAAAGTGCTCCAAAGTCATAAATAAAATATTATATTCCTAATGGTATGAATGATATTTAAACATGGCCTAATTTTAAAGGTCTTCTGAATAAATGTGGAGAAAAAAAACTACTTAAAGGTTTGGAGACGCATGGTACTGAATTCAATGTGGATACACAGGAGATGCACATGAGGATGTGAGCACATTTTCTGCAAATGATTTTCACGCGTGTATGTCACAGTGGGAGACTATGTTGTCAGCTTGATGAATGAGAAAAGGAAAGGGAAGACATGGCTGTCTGTGAGGAGCACATACCAGAACTACAAACTTGTAAATATAATAATTAAACTTTCCTTCACAATCTCAAATCAGAATGTTTTGTAAAAAAATAAAAGTTATTCCATCAATAATAAGAAAGTTGAAGGATAACTTGGGTCAGTTATTTGTCAAATATTGGTGCATAAAATGAGTAGATGTTGGAATAATACAGTCTTTCTTAAAGCTGAAGCCAACACTAGAAAAAAGTTGTTGGCACAAAAATACAATTAATATTTTATTGTTTGGTTTGTTGATAACTTATCCTGCTCTCTTGTGTAGGTTTTCAGAACAAAAGCAAGATGACCCTGCCCAAAAAATAGTCTATTTTTCATTCCTGCTATGGACAACTTCCAATGAGTATCACTTTGTTTATGAAATAATCTGGAATCACTTTTGGGTCACTGTAAGTACTACCCCTGGCAACAAGTATGGAATCACCAGTCTTGGATGAGCACTCATTCAGACATTTCATTCTATAAAACAAACTCAGATCAAAAACATGATACAATAATAAGGTCATTCCAAAGTGCAACTTGTTGGCTTTCAGGAACACTCAAAGAAATGAAGAGAAAACATTGAGGAAGTCAGTGAATGTTACTTTATTGAACAAGCACAGGGGAAAATATATGGAATCACTCAATTCTGAGGAAAAAGTATGGAATGACTCAAATTGTAGGTAGAAAATAAGGACACACCCAGTAAACTTCCTTTCTCTAAATGGACTCCTGCCTCAGATTAGATCTGCTCGTTAGTC